AATTATATGTTGAGAATGTGGGGCAGAAAATGAATTTGGAAAAATGAAATTTTTGAAGATATGGTTCAAACAGTGGTTAAGTTTCATTCTCAATGAAGTTTATGTAAACCCCAGAACAATTTTCTTTTTTACACAGAGATATATTATACAGAGATAGTTATAGAAATTCAAAACTTGTTTGCTATTCTTTTTATTTTATTGCTAAGTGAATGAAGACTAGAACAACCATATTATTTATATATGGCAGAAATGAATAAGAGTTCATTGATACATCGATGTTAGTTTTCACTCAGACGAGGATAATAATAAGTCTCCATCAGGATATGTGTTTGCTCTCAATAGTGGAGTGGTTAATTAAACAAGTTCAAAATAGGAAACAACGGCTGATTCAAAAAACAGAAGCAAAATACATTATTGCTTCATGATAAGTGTATTTTGTACACTTTTTAGGCCTTTAATTATATTTATTGATTATTTTGATGAATTATGACTTAATTATATGTATATTGTGTTTGTTAGGTACAAATCAACATAAATAGCGAAATTGGAGAAAATTTGTGAAAATTGGCTAAGTTGTAAAAGATTCGAAGTTCGGGACTAAAGTATAAAGACTCAAAAGTTATATCAGACCTCAAGATAAATATTCAAGATGTGCTAGGGGTCAATTGGATGAAAAAAAAAAGTCAAATGGGTGAAACATAATCAAAGTATTATCACATATCAATTTCCAGCCGAAAAATTATGCTCCGAATTTTCAGTCTCAGATTAAGACCCATTTTTGGCATGAAAAACATTTGAAATGGAAAAATGATATTTCTAGAGGAATTGTATCTCTTTGAGTTATCTTTCCAACACACTTTGAATCGTCTCAATCGAATATCGAGAAAGAATGTTATGAGAAAAATATTGAAGGTTGTTCGACTGTCGAAACCACCATAGGCGCACGCCTCAACACCTAAGCGTGTGTGCCCTGGCTATGCCTTAGTACAAAAATGGAAAAAAAAAATCTGATTTTCCTTATTTTGTAGTTTGGCATCCTATAAATTGTAAAACACGTCCAAAACAAAGAGGAGGCCGATTTTATCACAATAGAGCAAGAAAAGAAAGAATTTTACATTGAAGAAGCGAAATTTCATCTCCTAGGTCGGATTTCAAGTTTTTCACTACTCTCTTATCCTCGAGTGATGTTGTTTCTCTTTCTTTTATGTGATTTTCATATTACAATGCTAGGCTAAACAATTTTATGTATTGAATGAATGATGAAACCTATGAATTTATAGTTTTTAATTCAAGATTTATTGTTTTTTATAATTCTTGTGTTCTAGCTTAAATATGCATGAATCTTGTGTTGTTTGAATGTTTGTCTATCATTTAGATAACTAGTTACTTATTTGGAGTGTTGTGAGACTCATAATAAATGGAACATTGCGTATTTACCACACGGGCAATAAATAGTAGGAATAATGTTTATGGCGTGTGCAATCGTGTGTGATAATCCTATGATTGAATACGTGTTTTGCATATGAATTCGGATTAGGAAAATGATCGAGCCGTGTTAATCATAGATTTAATTTATCTTGGAAGAGAATATTATATATTAACGAATTATTGATTGTTTTAACCACATTCATATAAATCGAGAATTGGAACTAAACATCAATATGTGGATTCTGAAATCTAATACATTCATATCATATTTGATAAAAAAAAACCAAATCTTTTACAGCTTTCATAGTTTAATTTAGGATACTTGCAAAAGCAAACTCTTTTGTGTTACGATCATCAAATTCGGTAAAAACTGATAGACATTACATGTCTTCTCGCGGGACGATACTCTTATTCACTACTTATTACTTGTCAATGATCTCGTACACTTGTTAGTTTTGTCCGAACACTTCAAAAGCAATGAAGGAAGTTGTCTAGATCAAGAAATTCGTTAACGAGCTTGAAGTAGCTCTAGCATTGTTGTCATATAGCTCTGTATTGGGACAACAATGAAGCTATCGTGCAAGCAATAGAACCAATGTTTCATCAACAATCTCAATATATGTTAAAATTGTATCATCTCATCAAAGAGATCATACGAAGAAATGACGTGAAGTTAGAACGAATTTTTCATATGATAATATTACAAATCCATTGACAAAGTCGTTGCCCCAACGGAAACATAATCATCATATTGACTCTTTTAGTGTTAGATACACGAGTAATTGGATTTAGTGTAAGTGGGAGTTTTTAAGTGATATGTCTTAGGTCCAATCAATTTTAGGATGTAAACACTTTGATTTATTGATGCATCTTGTGGCGAATCTATTATTATGATTAAATATTATCTTGACAAATTAAATTAATAGAGTACTTGATAAATTGTTAATCAAAAAGAGTTATGATAGTGAGATATAAGTTATATATGACTAAATCTTAAATTATTCGTGGTTATAAGTAATAACGAGATACATGCCAACACGTATGGCATTTCTTACTTATAAAGTGAATATTTGATCTTGCAAATTGATGTAGTTACATTTAAATAGATACGTGGATATTTTGTTAAGATAACAAAATATTGGAGACCCACTACAGAGATTTCACATGGACAACTATATCAGTATCAATGGTTAATCTTTAATGTTAGGTAGTATAATTGATCATTCGACTTGAGGTCGTGATAATACCTTATATCAGGAGTCGTATTTTAGTAATATTGGATGTTTCTTTATGAAGAGTCAATAATACGACATCATTTAGGTGTGATAAGAATCGTATGAAAGTTTTAAAAGATTTATAGAAAATTCATCACTCTTAGATAATAAGATATTATGAATTACGTTTCATCCACTTAAGTGTATATAAAATTTCTTGGCCCAAGTGAGTTCATAAGTTGAAAAGAGTTTTGACGATAATTGACTTAAAAGTAGAACGAAAGATATGATCAATTAAATTGAAATTGATACATTTCCATATCTTATAATCGATTAAATTATGTTGACAAATAAATTATAGTTTAACAAAAATCGAATAAGATTTATTTTGCCATACTACGTGATATTTGCCGTGACACATTGTTGTTAGATGTCAACCAGGGACGACGAATATGAATTTATTAAGTTAAGTGGATTAATAAATTAAAAGAAGTGTTTAATTTATTTTATTTTGATTAAATCATAATAATGATTCGTGTAGTCCAATATCGTGATAGAGAAGCTAATGAATCACACAAAAGATGATAACTAGGAGGATGAGATTAAAAATTAATTAATTGAAAACATATAGGACATTTGTGAAATTAATTAATTTGGACTGTTTAGGCCAAGAGTAATTAATTGGATTAATTAATTAATCGGCAAACTTTATGGACTTGAGTTTATTGGATGAGTCAAGTCCAATTAAAGATCTATAAATAAATAATTAGGGTGTGTTTGATGCATTTATTTTTCATGAAAAAACGTCAGTTTTCACTCAAATTTCTACTTTCAGTGTTTGATTGCTATTTTTTTCCATTGAAAATATTTTTCAACTTTTGAAAATATGCATAATTTTCCTTATTTTTAAAGGAAAATTTATTTGGGAGGAGTATGTTTTTGTTTTCCTTAAAAGAAGGAAAATATTTTTTTTATAAGATATATTTTCTATGCCAATCAAACGCACTCTTCGAGTTAGAGATAATTGATTCCTACTTTTGCTAGCTCTTGAAAAGAAACCCCTAATCATTTCATTCTTTTTTCTCTCTGTGTGGACTACCATTAGAGTCTGGACGATTAGATACCAATAGCGTGCAGAGATTGTGATAGATCGTATTCAAATTCGCATGGAAGTTGGAGAATTTGTCAAAATGTAATATTCTAATCTTAGTTTCTATCTAAGTACAAAAACAATCCTTTACAAAAATCGAAAATTATTTAAAATAAGTTGTGCGTGCATAAGTAGATTCAAAACACATATAAGCAAAAAGTGACCTGAACTTTCGATGAGAAATTGTTGGCAAAGGCGAGTCAGAGAAGTTGTGTAGTTGCATTAATATGAACAAGAGAAGCGCGCTGTGAGCCATTGACTAGGGTGGCTATTGTGCCAATGGCGGCAGTATCATTTGCCATAAGAAAACCAAAAAATTAAAAAAAATTGAAAAAAAAATTTAGGTTTTCAAAGGAAAAGAGAAGTCGTGGATGAAGGAAGGTGATAAAGAATTCATTCAAGAGATATTGACAAGCTCTGATACCATGAATCAAAAAGCAATCTTAACGGAGTTGTATGTATTTCATATATCAACAATGATGTCACATGATACAAGATAAGATAAACCACAATCATAACCTATTTTTGAAATAGTAGATCCTCGTAAGTTTATTGGGCCTGGCTCTACATACTTTGGGTCTTTCGAGAGTGAGCGAAAGGTAGATGCTATGAGAATTTTCAGGGGAAAATTATCTCATACCTTACATTTTAAATTTCAATTTAAAAATAAAATATTAATGATCTTTTTCTTTTCTTGTTTTTTTAACCAAAAATCAGCTATATCTATACCCATCACTTCCCACTAAGAGAGTATAACAAAACGGTTAAAACTCGTTGATTTGGTGGGGTGAGAAAATCGATCAAAATTATACTACATCGATTTTAGATGATTTTTAAACCATCCAAAATCTTTATCCAAAAGAATTAATAAGCACTGATTTTTTTAACTCGATGCAATCCAAAATCAATCAAAATAGGTGAAAAAAAACACACCGTCATGCCCTTAGGCAAATACAAAAAGAGTGCTCAAATCACTTTCGGATCCCGATAAAGTGCTTTCCGTGTCAATTTCTCAAAACATGAAGTTAGCCTTATTGGCCCAAATTTGTCTGAGCCCATAACACTGTGATGGTGTGTTCTTCCCAATGAACCCTAAATCCTAAAAAATTTTAGTACCACTTTTTTCATGAGAGAATCCAGTCGTAGAAGCCTTGCTGAATCATCGTCCAAGGTTTAACTAACATATAAAATACATCAAGGTAATGGCTATGTATTTATGCAAAAGTAACCCTTCATTTTTTTACAAATCCCATTTTTCTTTATCATTTTCTCTCCTTTTTTCCTCTTCCTCGACCGAAAAGAAAGTGAAAAATGATCTTACAGTGTATGATTTCCTGCTACACAAACACCAATTTTCTCCTGAAACAGCTTCACAAGTTGCCTCTGTTTTAACCCGTATAAAGAATCCGGAAAAATCTGATTCAATATTATCATTCCTCAAGGAGAGTGGTTTTTCAAAGAGTCAGTTGGAGAGAGTCGTGAAGACAAAGCCTGGTTTGCTTGGTGCAAGTCTTGAGAAAACCATCAAGCCCAAATTCAAGATTTTCCAAGATTTGGGCTTTTCTGCCGAAGACATTGCTGAGATTATCTCAAACGATCCAGCAAATTTGCATCGAAGTGCAGATAGTAGGGTCAGACCGTCGTTAGCGGTTTTGAAAAGATTATTGGGATCTAGTGCAGAGGTAACTAAGGTTTTAAAGATTTCTGGGTGGTACTTGAAAAAAGATTTGGAGAAGAGTATGGTACCCAATATTGATTTTTTAAAGAGTTGTGGTGTAGGCATGGAGCAAATCATAAAGAAAATGTATAATTTTCCTAGGTTTCTCATGTATAGTCCAAAAAATATGAAATTTTTTGTTAAAATGGTTGATGAGATGGGGACTTGTAGA